GGTAATGATAGCATTTAACTCAATAACATGGGATGGAGAACAAAGACTTCAGAATACTAAACAATGAATAGTAAGCACTACATAATTTTAAGCCATTATTAGGTAATAGTAAGAAAAACATTATTAGACAGAAGATTTATTGCATGAAATTGCCCCAGGAACTCTATCCTATTGTTCTGAAAGGGCACTTGGATGTCTGTAAAACACTCAGAAAACAGATTCATAGAAAACTTTAAAGCAATTTAACATATCTAGGAAGACTTTCTTTAAAAAGTTTTATTGTTACTTATTTTTTGAGTACTTTAAAAACTGTCATTTCACTGTCTCTTGTGCTCTATCAATTGTGATGGCAGGTCAGAGGTCTTTGAACTGATATTTTTGTATTTAATGTGTTATTTTTCACTAATTATTTTCAAGATTTTTTTCTTATTTTTCTTCTTGCCTGTTAGGCTAGTATTCTTAGGTGTGGTTTTATTTCTGTTTATCTATTTTGGGATCATTGATTTTTTTCCCTCTATAAATTTAAGTCTTTTACCAAATTTGGAGAAAAATTGCCACTATTTCTTCAAGTATTTATTTCTACCCCATTTTTTCTCTTTCTTTTATTCTGAGATTCAGAATACACACGTTAGACCTTTTGATATTTTCCCATGGAAGAACTGTTCATGTTTTCTTTCAATTTTTTTGTCTCTGTTTTTAAGTGAAATGATTTCTTGAAAATATTGATACACAATAGACATACATATTTTCAAGGTGCATACAATCATTTAATATAGTCATATAATTTATAAAGATCAAATCAGTGTAATTGGGATATCTTTTACCTTAAATGTTTGTCTCTTCTTTACACTATAACATTTGAATTATTATCTTCTAACTATTTTGAAATACATAATAGATTACTGTAAACAACAGTCACCCTACTTATTAATCAAACACTAGGTCTTAGCTCTATCAAACTGTATATCTGTACCTATTAATCAACCTCTCCTAATTTCCTCTTCCCCACTACCCTTTCTGGCCTCTGGTAACCACTAATTTCTCTATCTTTATGAGATCCATGTTTTAAACTCCCACATATGAGAGAGAACATGTGATACTTTTCCTTCTGTGCTTGGCTTATTTCACTTAACATATTGACTTCCAGTTCCATTCAGGTCGTTGCAAATGACAGGGTTTTATTCTTTTTATGGCTGAATAATAGTCCATTATGTCTATGTATATGTGTGTACACACACACACACACACACACACACACACAAACACACACACACACACACACACACACACACACACACCCAGTAGTAGAATTGCTGGATCATATGGTAGTTTTGTTTTTAGGTTTTTGTGAATCCTTTAAATGATTTTCCATAGTAGCTGTACCAGTTTGCATTCCCACCAACAGTGTAAAAGTGTTTCCCTTCCTTTGCATCTTTATCAGCATTCATTATTCCCTATATTTTTTAAAAAGTCATTTTTTTAGATTGAAAAATATAATTTATTTAAAAGTAAATTAGGGAGAGAGAGATTATTAATCTCCCCCCAGGTAGGGGAGGGTACCAAAGCTTAGGAAAACATGACTGGACCAAAGCTTAACAAAAGCATGGCCAATAAAAGTTATTTTAACTGGGGATAGATGATATCTCATTGGGGTTTTCATTTGCATTTCTTTGATGATTAGTGATGTTGAATTTTTCTTCATATACTGCTGATCATTTATATGTCTTCTTTTGAGAAATGTCTAGTCAGATCTTTTGACAAATTTTAATTTTATTATTTTTTTCTATTGAATTGTTTAAGTTCCTTATATTCTGATTATTAATTCCTTGTCAAATGGATAGTTTGCAAATATTTTATCCCATTCTGTAGGTTGCTTCTTCATTGTGTTGATTATTTTACTTTTTGTGTGAATAAGCTTTTCAGTTATTTTAACCTCATCTGTCTGTTTTTGTTTGGGTTGCCTATGCTTTTTAGCTCTTACACAAAAATTATTTGCCCAGAACAATATCTGGAACATTTTCCCAATGTTTCTTCTAGTAGTTTCATAGTTTCAGGTCTTAGATTTAAATCTTTAATCTATTTTGATTTCATTTTTGTATGTGTTGAGAGATAGGGAGTCTATTTTCATTCTTTTGCATCTATGTGTCTGTTTTGATGCCAGTACCATGTTGATTTGATTTCTATAGTTTCATGGTAAATTTTGAAGTTACGTAGTGTGATGTCTCCAGCTTAGTTGTTGTTGTTGTTCAGAATTGTCATGGCTATTTGGGGTCTTTTTTGGTTTCATATAAATTTTGGAATTGTTTTTTCTATTTGTGTGACGAATATCATTGGTATTTTGACAGGGATTACATGGAATCTGTAAATTGCTTTGGGCAGTATTGTCATTGTAACACTGTCCATCTTTCCTATCCATGAGCATGGAATAGCGTTTCAATTTTTTAAAACATCTCCAATATTTTTCATCATTGTTTTATACTTTTACTTGTATAAATCATTCACTTATTTAGATAAATTGGTTTCTGATATTGTATATTATTTATGACTATTGTAAATGGGTGTGCTTTCTTGATTACTTTTTCAGATTGTTCACTGCTGGTATAGTTCAATGCCATTGATTTTTGTATGTTTATTTTGTAACTTCACTAAGTTTATCAGTTCTAACAGTTTTCTGGTGCCATCTTTAGGTTCTTATTTATTTATTTTGTAAAAGATCATGTCATTTGTATAGAAGACAAATTTTAATTCTTCCTTTCTAATGTGAATGCCTTTTATTTCTTTCTCCTTCCTAGTTACTCTGGCCAGGACTTCCAGTATTATGTTAAATAGAAGTAGTGAAAGTGAATACATCCTTGTCTTGTACTATATCTTAGAAAAAAGCTGTCAATTTTTCTCTGTTCACCAAATGTTAGCTGTGCGTTAGTCATATATAGTATTATTATTTCAGGCTATATTCTCTTCATACTCAGTTAGAGGGTTTTTATCATAAAGAAATGTTGAATTTTACTGAATGACTTTTCAGTATATATTGAAATGATTGTATGGTTTTTGTTCTTGGTTCATATAGTTTTGTTCATTTTTGCATGTGTTCATCCATGATATTGGTCTGTAGTTTTCTTTGTTGTATTCTTGTTTTGGTGTCAGGGTAATGCTTCCCTCATAGAATGAGACAAAGACATCACTAAAAAGAAAACTTCATAGCAGTATCTCAATGAAAGACATACTAATGTACAACAAAATAGTAGCAAACCAAATGAAGCCACATATAAAAATGATTATATGCCATGAACAAGTGGGATTTATCCCATGGATAAAAGATTGTTTTAACATATAAAAATTGATTAATATAATACAATATATCGATAGAATAAAACAAAACTCATACGATTACTTCAATACATGAGCAAAAACAATTGACTAAATACAGCATTCCTTGAGGATAACAACACTTAACCAACTTGGAATAGAAGGAAGCGTCTTTAATCTGATAAAGCACTTCTACCAGAAAACAAAACAAAAGCATAAATCTCTCAGGTAACACAAAAAAGTAAAAATCATCCAAACAGGAATGGAAGAATTAAAATTATCTCTATTCACAGATGAGATGATCCTATAAATAGAAAAACCCAAAGAATCCACAAGAAAATTACTAAAGCTAATAAATAATTCAGTAAAGTTTCAGGGTCAAGATAAAACACAAATATCAGTGATGTATTTATACTTCAGCAATAAACAATACAAAAGAGAAATTAAGACATAATTCCATTTATAAAAGCATCTAAAAGAATAAAATGCCTAGAAATAAATAAACAAGGAAATGAAGAAATTAAAGATGACTTAAATTTGTTTATCAGTTTAACAATATCATGCAGTCTTGAGAATTGTAGCTACCTAATGTCTTAAAGCTAGAGTGACTTGTTCTACTTCATTTTCTTTCTAAAAATTTTTTACCTCTTCAAGTTCTCCTGCCTTCCTGCTTAAAATTAAGAATTGTATGTTATGTAATTTTCGAATAATTTTGTCAACATTTTCAAGAAACTTTTCTAAAATTTTGATAGAAATAGCGTTAAGTCAGTATATCATTTTGGAGATAATTGATAGATTTACTATGTTGAGTTTTCTAATTCATTAACATGATTTGTGTTCCATTTATTTAGCTTTTTATTTCTTTTATCAGTGTTTTGTAGTTTTCAGCCTCCAAGTTCTGTACTGTATTGACAGATTTACATCAAAGTGTTCCTTTTTTTTGTGCAGATACAAAGGATATAAATTTAATTTTGACATCTATGTTTTCATTGTTAGAATATAGAAATAGAATTTTTTAAAAATATGTTTTTCTTGTATCTTGTAATGTGTCTGGACTCACTTTTTAATATTAGGATTCTTTGTTGTTGATTCCCTGCAGTTGTCTATGGAATCATGTCATCTTCAAACAGAAACATTTTTCTTCCATTCTAATCTGTATGCTCTCTTTTCCCTTAAAAAAAAAAATCTTACCTTATTGCACTGGGTAGAATTTCTAGTGCCATATTGAATAAGAGTGTTTAGAACAGACATCCTCACTCTGGTCTCAGTACTGGGGGAAAGCATTGTCTTTCTCCATTAAGTATTATGCTACCTATAGGCTTTTTGTAGTTATTCTTTATCAGGTTGGGAAGGTTTCCTATGATTCCTACTTTTCTGAAAGTTTTTAAAAAAATCATGAATTGATGATGAATTTTGTCAAATGCTTTTTTTGTATTACTTATTATGATCATGTGATTTTTTTTCTTCTCAAGGCTGTTGTTATGGTGGATTACCCTGAATGACTTTTTAATATTGAACCAGCCTTTGTTTCTCAGAGTAAATCCCACTTGGTCATGATGTATACTTGTTTCTCTATGTATGCGATTTTATTTGCTAATATTTTATTAAGAATTTTTGTGAGGTCTTGTGAGTGGAAATGCACTGACGGTTTGGCCTTCTGCACAGTGCAGCGGCTGGGGTGTAAGGAACTGACGCCGTCAAACGTGAAGAAACTTTAGTAGAAGAGAAATGGAGAGCCATAGAACATTAAGGATAAATTCAGGAAGGTGTGAGACCATGGAAATCTTGCCTGCTCTCTAAATCATTTTCCAAGGAGAGGTTGCTATCGTGACAGATTGTGGAACCTTTATCAAAATCCCAGACTATGGGAAGCAAGGTCTGGTCCATCCAACTCATATGTCATCCTGTCAGATGGATAAGCCCTTTGGGATAGTAGATTTTGGAGACAAAGTGTGGTGAAGCTTATTGGCTGAGAGATGAAAAATTATAGGATAAAAGTATCCCTCTCCATGAAAGTTGTCAACCAAGGGACTGGGAAAGACCTTGATCCAAACAACATTATCATTGAGCAAGAAGAGAGGCAGAGGCAGATCTTTCAGGATTACACTGGGCAGATTTCCCTCGAGGTTGTCCTGAACACTACAAGCAAGTGTAGCTGTAAAGGCCACTTTGCAAATAATTGTTTCATGAAACCAGGTGGGACCAAATACTCTCTGATACCTGATGAGGTAGACGAGAAAGAGGCAAAGTCTGCAGAATTTGAGAAGCCTGACCCCATGAGGAATTCCAGAAAAAGAAAGAAGTCAGAATCTCATTCTGTCCACCCAGGCTGGAATGCAGAGGCACACTCACAGCCATAGCAGCCTCCACCTGCTGGGCTCAGGCAATCAATCCTTCTTCTGCCTCAGTCTTCCAAATAGCTGGAACTACAGAAAAGAAAAAGAAACATGGAGACAAGAAGTCATCTGACTCTGACAGCTCAGACTCTGAGAGTGATACAAGCAAGACAGCAAAGCACACATCAAAAGACAGCAAGGCAGCAAAGAAGAAAAAGAAGCAGCACAAGAAGCAGCACAGGAGTGACAGTAGAAAAGAGTGAAGGGAACGATTGAGAGTAAGGAACCAGGAACCTTGCGCCTTAAAGTCTTGTTTCCTGGAAAGACTCAATAAGGACAATATGAACTCCCACACCATTACTTTGCTCCCATGGGAAATGGCTTTTCCTCATGCAACAGGCACATTTAGGAATTATTTCCTGATCACTTCTGGCCCCTTTGCAAGTGACCCCTGCAGCTCATTCATTCATACTCCCAACTTCCTTCATTCAGCAGTAGGTCTTATTACTCTCTCCAGTTGTCACTGCCTGAGCTGGATTCCTGTACTGGAGTTCAGGCTAGAGCCACAGGGACAGCTGTGAAGGTGAGTTTGGCTGTAGTTGGAGAACAGATTGGCCCCTTCCTATTGGTCTATCGTGGGCCAATTAGTGGGTGATCTTTGCTATACGCAACAAAGGGACAGAGGGAGTCTGGTAGCAGGAGGGAGAAGATAAGAAGTGGTGCTTTTTCCACTCCCCCTAACATGGTTCTACTGTGCTAGAAGTGATGACAGCCAGTGGCCACAGCCAGAAAATGATCATTTGCATTGTGACTTAGCTTGTGTATTATATTCCATTGGATCACTGAACCAGATAGCTACTTTGTATCTACTATTTTGTGAGTCAGTTGATTCCACGTCAGGCCCTTGCTTAAATTCTGGGCACTGAATGGAAGTGTATGTGTGTGTGTGTGTGTGTGTGTGTGTGTGTGTGTGTGTGTGTGTGTGTTATTGTTGTTATTGTTGTTTTAAAGAATTTTTGCACATATATTTATTTGAAATATTAATATGTAGTATTTTCTTGTTTTTTTTAAATTTTTGTCCTCTGATCAGTCTGGTTTTGATAATAAGGTAATTGGTCTCATAGAATTGAGAAGTTTCTTTCTTTCATGTTCTGGTAGAGCTATGTAGTAGAATTGGCATTAATTCTTTTTTTAAAATGTGGTAGCATTTTCCAGTGAATCCATCTGGACCTCAATATTTCTCTTTTGATTGTTTTATAACTATAAATTGAATTTCTTTTTTGTGGTTGTTTTAAAGATGTGGGGTTTTATTTTAAAGATTAAGGGTTAGGTATACAAATGTTGATTATGCAGGTACCCTTGTTGATGAGGTGTGCCCCTCCCTCCCCTAGCAGTTTCCCTTAATTTCCAATCCCATCCCCCCTTCCCTGTGGTTTCCCACTATTGCCAATTCCTTTTTTATAGAGTTATGATAATTGTTCAAGGTCCACTTATGAGTGAGAACGTATGGTACTCTATTCTTTGCTTTTGTGATAGATCACTTAGTATGGCCATCTCTAAATACATCCAAGTTGCTGTGAAGTCTGTATGTTTGTCCTTTATGGCTGCATAATATTCCATTGTGTATATGTACCCCATTTTTTTTTATCCAATCCAGCTTCGATGGGCAGCATGTTGGTTCCATGTTTTTGCTATTGTGATTAGAGCTGCAACAAAAATACAGGTGCAGGTATCTTTTTTGTAGAATGATTTGAGATCTTCCAGGTATAGTCCCAATAGGGGAAGTGCTGGGTCATATGGAAGGTCAATTTCTAGTTCTTTCAGAAATTGCCACACTGTCTTCCCAAGAAGTTGCACCAGTTTGCATTCCCACCAGCAGTGTTGAAGCATTCCTTTTTCTCAGCATCCTCGCCAGCAACTATTCTTGTTTGTTTTATTAATTATGGCCATTCTTACTGGGGTTAGGTGGTATCTCAATGGGGTTTTGATTTTCATTTCTCTGATGATGAGTGAGGCTGAGCACTTTTCTATGTGTCTGTGGTTGCCTATATATCTTCTTTTGAGAAGTGTCTATTCATGTCTTTTGTCCACTTTTTAAATAGGGTGTTTGCTTTTTTCTTTTCAGCACGTTTGAGATCCTTGTAGATCCTAGATGTTAGGCCTTTGTCAGATATACAGTTGACAAATATTTTTTCCCATTCTGTGGGCTGTCTCCCTGCTCTCCTGATGGTTTCTTTTGCTTTGCAGAAGTTTGTCAGTTGGATGAAGTCCCACCTGTCTTATTTCTTATGGTATGGGCACTTAGGGTTTTGATCAGAAATTGGTTCCCAGTTCCAATTTTCAAAAGGGTGTCTCCTGCATTTTCTAAGATTCATAAAGTTTGAGGTTTTACATTTAGGTTTTTGATCCACTTAGAGTTAATTTTTGTGTATGGTGATAGGTGGGGGTCCAGTTTCAAGCTGCATGTGATCAGCCACTTTTCCCAGCACCATTTACTGAATAGGTTCTCCTCTCCCCAGTGGTTGTTGTTGAAGTTTTTGTCAAAGATGAGTCAGTTGAGAAATTGAGACTTTACTTCTGGAATCTCTATCCTGTTCCATTGGTCTATATGCCTGTTATTGTACCAATACCAGGCTGTTTTGATAACTGTAGCCTTATAGTAAAGTTTGAAGTTTGGAAGTGTGATACCTCCTGCTTTTGCTAAGGATTGTTTTGGCTATTTATGGTGATTTATGTTTCCATATGAATTTCTATATTGTTATTTCCAGGTCTGAGAAGAATGATGTTTGTAATTTAATGGGTATTGCGTTGAATCTATAGATTGCTTTTGGTAGGACAGACACTTTAACAATGTAGTTTCTTCCTATCCATGAGCATGGAATATTTTTCCATTTGTTTGTGTTTTCTTGGATTTCTTTGAGCAGTGTTTTGCAGTTCTCATTGTAAAGGTCTTTCACTTCTCTGGTTAGGAAGATACCAAGGTGTTTTTTTTGTGTGTGTGGCTATTGTGAATAGGATCGTGCTTGTTGTTTGTGTATAAGAATGCAACTGTCTTCTACACATTTATTTTGTATTCTGAGACTTTGCCAAAGTCCTTTATCAGTGCAAGCGGGTTTTTGACAGATTCTTTTGTATTTTCGAGGTATAGGATCATATTGTTGGAAAAGAGGGATAACTTGACTTCCTCTTTTCCTATTTGGATATCCCTGATTTTCTCCTCTTGTCCAGTCGCCCTAGTTAGGACTTCCAACACAATATTGAACAAGAGGGGTGAGAGTGGGCAGCCTTGTCTTGTTCCAGTTTTCAGGGGGAAATGTGTCCAGTTTCTGTTCATTTAGCAATATGTTAGCTGTGGGTTCACCATAGATGGCACTTACTATTTTGAGGTATGTTCCTTCTATACCTAGGTGTTTGAGGATTTTTATCAAGAAGGGATGCTGGATTTTTTCAAAAGCTTTTTCTAATGATATAATCATGTGGTTCTTGTTTTTACATCTGTTGATGTATTTAATTACATTTATGATATTTCAAATCTTGAACCAGCTCTGCATCCTGGGGATGAAACTTGGTCATGGTGGATGATTTTTGAGATGTGTTTCTGTATATGATTTACCAGAATCTTGTTGAGGATTTTTGCATCTATGTTTATAAGGGATATCAGCCTGTATCTCTCTTTTTTTTGTTGGATCTTTACCTGTTTTGGGTATCAGAGTGATGTTAGCTTCATAAAATGATTTGGGGAGAATTCCATATTTCTCAATTTCCTGGAATACTTTCAATAGGATTGGTCTCAGTTCCTCCTTGTATGTTTTGTAAAATTCTGCTAGAAAGTCATGTGGTCCAGGACTTTTTTTGTAGGTAGTTTTCATATGACAGAGTTAATTTTCTGGATTGTTATTGGTCTAGTTAATGTCTCAGTGTCTTCTTATTTCATCCTGGGGAGGTTGTATGATGTCTGAAAGTTCTCCATTTCATTTAGGTTATCAACTTCATTTCCATATAGGTGTACATAGTAACCTCTGATCATCTTTTGTATTTCTTTGGGGTCAGTTGTGATTTGATCTTTTGTATTTCTGATTGTGTTTATTTGAACTTTTCCTCTCTTTTTCTTGTCATTCTGGCTAGTGGCCCATCAATCTTGTTAATTCTTTCAAAGAACCAACCTTTTTTTTTGTTGATGTTTTCTGTGATTTTTTTGTCTTCTATGTCTCATATTTGGGCTCTTATTTTGGTGATTTGGATTCTTTTGCTAAATTTGGGGTTTTGATGGTCTTCTCTTTCCAGTTTGGGTGATTTGTTAGGCTCTCAACTTATGATATTTCTATTTTCTTGATGTGTGCCTGTAGAGGTAGAAATTCCCCTCTTAGAACTGCTTTCATGGCAACCCAGAGGTTTGGTAAGATGTGTCTTCTTTTTCTTGTTTCCAGGAATCTTTTAATTTCTTCTTTGATTTCAGTGTTGATCCAGTAGTTGTTCAGCATTATGCTATTTAGTGTCAATATCTTTGTGTGCTTTGAGGAAATTTTGTTGGTGTTGATATTTATTTTTATTTCTCTGTGATCTGAGGAGGTGCATGACAATATTTCAACCTTATATAATGTGTTTATGCTTGATTTATGGCCAAGGATGTGATTGATCTTGTAGTACATTCCATGTGGTGATGAGTAGAATGTATATTCTATGGTTGTTGTGTGGAATAATCTGTAGGTGTCTACTAAGTTCATTTGGTTGAGTGTCACATTTAGGTTCTGTATCTCCTTGTTGAATTTTTGCCTCAACTATCTGTCTAGGGCTGTTAGTGGGGGTATTCAAGTGCCCAGCTATAATAGTGTTAGAGTCAATATCCTTTTTTAGTTTACTTAGTAGTTGCTTTATAAATGCTATTGCCCCTGTGTTGAATGCATATATGTTTAGCATGGATATTTCTTAATGATGGATTGAACCTTTTATCATTGTGTTGGGTCCCTTTGTATCTTTTAAAATTTTTGATTACTTAAAGATTGTTTTTCTGATATTAAGATCATGACTCCTGCCTTCTTTTGTGATCCATTTGCGTGGAAACTCATTTTCCTTCCTTTAACTTTGAGTCTGTGTTTGTCTCTTGTGGTGGGATGAGTTTCCTAGATGCAGCAAGTAATTAGGTCATAGTTTCCTATCCAGTTTGCCATTCTATGCCTTTTCAGTGGTGAATTTAGTCCATTCAGATTCAGGCTGATTATTGAAATGTGATTGTTTATCCCTGTCATGAGGTTTTTACAATGTT